GGGCTCGTGTCGTTGGAAAACATCCACTTGAACAACAACCAGCTCACTTCGCTTCCTTCAGGTCTTTTTCATGGGCTCACTTCGTTGAGACGCATTTATTTGGCCAACAACGAGCTCACCTCACTTCCTTCGGATCTCTTTCATGGGCTCACATTTGTGGAACACATTGATTTGAGCTACAACAAACTCGCTTCGTTTCCTCAAGAGCTTTGCGATGGTCATCTTGAGTTCCTGAATCTGACCTACAACAATTTATCTTGGCTTCTGGAAAACTGTTCCAGCTTGCCCAATGATACTGTTCTTGTGGAGCCTCAAACATAGAGTCAAGTGATTTGCGCTGATGGCGCTCCATTGCAACCTGCCATGATTCATTTTTGCGAGTTGGTCTTTGGGTGGATAGTTCGAACTCTCAGGAGACTCAGGAGTTTTCAAATATCGATGGCTTCTAATTACACCAGCATCGACCCCAAACAGCAGCGGCAGTCGGAGTTTTCTTTTTCGGCAGATCCATTCCTGGCGCCAAATCTCCGCCCAGCATCCAGACATGCCATGGGAGACAAGGAGAGACAAAGCAAAGCGATCCCAGCCCAGCACCCAGACACCACGGGACAAGGGGGAAACCATCTCAGCCCAGCACCCAGACACGCCACGAGAGACAAAGAGAGACAAAGAGAGACAAAGCAAAACCAGCTCGGCCCAGCATCCAGACACGCCAGGAGACAAGGGGAGACCAGGAAAGACAAAGCAAAGCGATCCCGGCCCGGCATCCAGACACGTCGTGGGAGACAAAGCGAGACAAGGGAAGACAAAGCAAAGTCATCTCAGCCCAGCATCCAGACACGCCATGGGAGACAAAGGGAGGCAAAGCAAAATCATCTCGGCCCAGCGTCCAGAAATGCCATGGGAAGAGAAGGGGAGACAAAGGGCGGGAATCATCTTGGCCCAGCATCGTTTCTATGCAAGAGTTGAGAACCCCTCACAGCAAAGCTGTTTGGGGAAAAACTATATTAAGTTAAACAACTTCATGTCCAGATTCCAGTTGGTAATCCCGGCAGCTTTACAATAGTTTGGATGCCCGGATGATATGCGCCCTTTTCACGTCTATAACGAGAAAAAGAAACTGCAAAGCTGCGCGGATGGAAGGTGGTAGGGCAGCTTGTGGTTCTTGTCTTCTTCAACAGTTTCTCCACCCTACTGACGAGCGAAAACACTTGCTCAGGTTTTTACAAGCTACGCTATCAAAGTGCTGAAACACGGCAACATGGCTCTGAACCAGCACCAGTGCCGATGAGTGTTGGATCCCCATGCGATGAGTTCTGGATTGCGGGGGTTTTGTGTGTGTGTGTATAAAGTACTCACAAAGCGATGCACACCACATTGCTTGGTCTTTTCTGGCGGCGCTACTACTCCTCCACTTCTGAATTGTGCCCACTATCCACACGGTGGATTGGGAAGTCTGGCACCTACGACTCGGTTCGGTCGAAGCTCCGCCGGTCGAAGACCGACGGAAGGAGTCGAAGACACGGCTCTGATGGGCTGAGGGCCGCGATGGAGCCTAAAGGTTTATTCTTCTTTTGGGGGGGGTCCGGCGGGATGTGTTGTTGCGAGTCGTTCTTGTTGGATCGGATGTTCTGAAAAAGGGTTCGGAACTATAGACTGGTGGAGGACCGGAGGGGGATGGGTGCACAAATAGGTTGAGGTTGAGGAGTTGTTTGTATGAAGTTCTGCAAAGAAGTTCCGAGTTGCGATTTCCGTTGACAACATCACGCAGCTAGCTACGCTAGCTAGCTCATCAAATATGCAACCTTATATCACTCAGCTGTATATGCTATATATAGTTCAGTTACACAATTCCAAAGGGAGAAACAAGTCAGGATTGTGACTCACTACTTTGGCATCGCCGCGTCAAGCTGGGGCTGTAAGTATGGAGAGAAACAGTTTCCAGCAGTCCCTTGACACCCCGAAAAGGCAGGCCTGCGAGCTTCCCAGCACCAATCATTTTGATCGACGATGCGCGCATCATCGCACATCGGTTGCGCTAAGGCGCTGCACTCCGGAGGTGGATGTTCAGCGACACCTGTCGTGGTGCGCAGGTGGGGCGCCGACCGGTTGGTGTTCGCTCCTGGGAGTCCCGAGCGTTTAGACTCTACTCGTGTTGGTTTGATGTTGGGGCTGGGAGAAAAAGCCTCAGCGTGATGCCTTCATGTGCTTTCCGTTGCTTGGAGGAAGCAGTGAGGTTTGCTGAGAATATGCCGCACCGTCGCAATGGGGGTTGCAATGTGAAGTTCGTTTCTTCGCTGTCGGTACTGCCATTTGGACCAGTGAAGAACCCTCCGAAGCTGCTTCTCCAAGACATGACAGTGAGCTGTGAGTCCCTTTTCTTGGAACAACGATTACGTCCTGGCGCGGTTTGCGCCGCCTTTCTCGTGCGTGGACGAAAGTCGGCTGGCACCTGTGCCGGCACGGTACCACGCTCGTCCTGGCGCGAGTGTGTGAGGCATCGAGTCAATTGGGGTATCTGGATTATATGGCTCAAATGGCGCTGCGGGGCCTGGCTAGCGGGCGAGGCATAGTCATTTGGGTATCTGGATTATGTGGGTATATGGTCTTCATTGGGTGTGATGTCCCTCTGGTCATCAGAGTGGGACAGGCACGGGTTCACAAAGTTCACAGAGGTAATTAAGGAATAAGTGCTTGATTGAGATGTCTATGGGTGCTAGCAGAAAACTGTTGGATCACTTCGACAGATGGACGCGCAGTCCAAACATCTCTAATTTCTGGTTTGGATGCAGGAGACATGTCCTTCCATCTCGGATTCATTTCGACACCAGACCTGGCAGTGAACAGTCAGGTGTGCCCCCCTGGCTCACTGTCTGGCACCTTTGGCCCACCAGTTGACTGAGCACCAGGCGGGGGGTGGAAGAGCAACTTGAGGTTTGGGGTTTGCTTATGTTTGCTTCCTTTTCTATGGTGGTGTCGAAATTCCTGTATTTTGAACCTTCACTTGCGATGATTGAACCCACTAGCAACTATGTTTCAACTGAGTTGAAATGACCAACCGGTTTTGTTTGAGCGCTGATGGTACGGGAAGCTGTCACAGCCACTCTTACATGTCTCTAAATTGGAAGTGCTTGCACGTCTTCACGGAATATCGGCAGGTTCCTAGCCCTCCCCAAATCACCTTTTTCTAGGGATTGTTGGAGCAGGCGTGAGTATAGGCAGCTGATGGGGTTTCAACCGAAATTGCGCCGTTCCGAGAAGTGTAAACCTCGACTATGATTCAATCTACTGTACAACTTAAAGGTTTTAACACATGCTTGCCTAACTCTGTATCTACTTTGATCTACTTTGCGTTGGCTATTTCACCGGTCAATGTCGCCGCACAAAAGCGCGTCTCCGGAGGTCGGCGTTCAGTGTCGGGACCAGACTCCGGCGCTTTTGGAACCTGTGATGAAGGTGGATACGGTCAGCGTTGGGCCGTGCGTGGGGCAGATACTGCACAGCTCGTGTATGACTGTGTCGACCAAAACATGTGACAGCAGATGGTGTCGATTGTTCGGGATATTTCAATGAGGCAGGCTGAGGCAATATCAGCAATCAGTTGTTTGGACAAACTTGACTTTACTCAATGAGAAAACCATTGAAATGCTCGTCAATTAGCATTTGTCTCACATCCAAAGGAGCAAGACGCATCAGCGTTCTTTCTTTCAAGCATAGGGAAGCCACAACAACTTGGGATTTACGGCCCGTTCACCTCACTGTTTTTCTCGCATCGCTGCGCCTTTCAGCGCTTAGGGCAGGAGGGAGGTGAGGAAGGGCTGTCAAACTGTTTGTTGTTTTTTGGTTTGAATATATCTCGCCGGTTTGATGCTCATCTTGGAAAGACAGTCCAAAAAAGTATTTAGGTTTGCTTTTATTTGCTTGAATATGTGCAGTCACGCCAACAACCGACAGAGCTCTCACTGGATTGTGTCAGGAGCGCGCGAAGTCGCATGAACAGGAGGCTCCCATGTAGGCCGGGCTTCCACAAAGCCAAAAGAGCATCTCCACAGATATCAGAGAAAGGATGAGAAAGGAACATATGAACGCACCTCTTTGCTAAGACACCTTTAAGCAGCTTCAATGAATGTCTCATACAAAACCAGCTAAACCCCTTGCTTCCACGTCTATTTTGGGATTATCCTCAGAGGCGCTTCGCTTGGTGTTTGAGAAAAGGGTTAACTCGTACCAACATGGATGCCATGTCAGACATGTGACATGTCCATGTGACATGTGACACGGCCACAGGTCAGTTCTTTGCCAACGAGAGGAGGCGTTGGGCCCTGAAGTAGCCCTGGAGGGATGACATTGCGGATGTTCATGGTTTCAGACCGATCTGAGGCAAACTGGTATCATTAGATATCCATGAAACACTTCATGTTCTGCATTTTAAGTATGCAAGTTGCTGCAGTTGCTGCTGTAGCATGCCGTGTGTGGCCCGATAAGAAACCAACTGCCGGTCCGCCAAGAAACCGTGCTCTGGTCCATGTGGCTGCAAGCTGCAAGGAATGAAGGCCGTTTCGGATTTCGGATCTGCAACGTTTGAGTGAGACTGTTGATATTGACTCACCATGAACATGCAAGAACTAAAGTTGACAATCTCATGGCGGTGTGTCACCCTACCACTCTTCAAAAACCCAAAAGAACACCCTCCTTTTTTGTGGTGCGTGTTCACTCTCCTTTTACGTCTAGTGTCAATCTTCCCGCCATGGTGACGCTCGATGATGCCGTACCATGTTTCCTCAAGGTGCCAGGCCATGAGGAGGCGGAGATCGCCCTTTGCGTCGATGATGCTATGACAGGGCTTGATGTGATCCACTGGGAGCAGATCTGGGAGGAAGCGGCTCCTGATCGCCCGACGCATGGGAACCGACTCCTGTCGGTTCAAGACCGGATGATTGCGCCCCATGAGCTGGTACGCCCAGCTCTCCCTGAGTCTTGGTCTGGATGTGTGACGCTTGCGGATTACTCTCAACTTGGCCCAACGGAAGGCAAGATTTGTCGCATCAGCGCCACTGAACTGCGAGGCATTAGAGTGGCGCAATTGCACTCTTTGTTGGTGTTCATCAAGGAGATGGCTCCCTACTGGTGTGAAACATTTGGTGCTGAAGCCGGACAAGCACTTCTGTTTGAGAATTTCAATCTTTACAATGCGAACCAGTGGATCATCCAGCCCGCCACTGAGGGCCGCGGAGGAAATATGATTCATTTGAGCAAAGTGATGAGCCAAGTGGAGAAGGGTTGCAGCTATGTCGAGCTGGTGAGCATGGAAGCAGAGGCCCAGCGTCCCCACTGGTTCGTCTCCCACGCATGGAAGGAGCCGATCGTGAATTTTGTCTCCTGCTTGGAAAAACATTTGGCCGTACGGGGTCTTTCACCAGAGAGCCCCTATTGGGTTTGCGCCTATGCCAACAACCAGCATACCCTAGACAAAGAAATTACGGAAGACCCACGGGAAACTGCCTTCTACCGTGCCATGAAGGCCAGTGAAGGTGTACTTCTAATCTTGGACAAGGATGCAACGCCATTTTCGCGCATTTGGTGCTGCTTTGAAGAGAGTGTTGCGGTGGAGCGCTCAGTTGGTAGTCCCGAAAGGTTGCTTCAGCAACCTTGAGTTCAATTAGCTTTAGGTTGGGGTCTGAATCCTGCTTCATGACCGATTTTGGGATCGCGAAAGGAGGCTCTTCACTACCTTCTCTCCCCGCCCCTGGCGGGTTCAATTCCCTGGGACGGATGATGTTTCCCTTCAAATCTACCATGGCTTCGTGTGATTGGATTCGTATCGAGCTTTACTGTTGGTTTGTTGCTGCAGCTGCTTTCCTGCTTTTGCTGCTTTGCTTTGCTGCTGTTGCTGCTGCCGCCTCTGCTACCCACCCGTCGTTGCTAAGCAACCTTTCGCCCACCCCCCTTTTTCTTAAGTTGTGAGCAGTCTTAGACTTCAGGTCGAAGAGCGCAACTCTGCCACACCCTTGCTGCTGGACCTGGCTGCTGTTGCATCTTTCGAGGCTCACGTGGTCACGGATGGCTTGGCAGGAGTTGAACGCCAGATGATGCCACTC